GTTGCAGAAACCAAAATAACAGTACCATCTGAACGAAAAATCACAGAATACGCAACCACTTGAAATGTTTGTATTATTGCACTCTATCACAGTAAATCCTGTAATTGCGTAGTTTTCAGCATACTCGGGAGTTCTTCGTTTTTTTTAGTTAAAGGGTCAATTGTTGAACACACTTTAGGTGATTGCTTCTCTTCTATTAGCAGCGTAATAGTGAGGACTGCCCTCATTATTAATTTGAAACTAAATGTTTTCCCCAAACAGCACCATCTGATGCCGCGACACTACAACTAACATTTGTGTCATTCACACGATGCTGATTATTATACACTAACCCAGACACATATTTGGGCGATGAACTTGAACTAACATCCTATTGTACACGCATCGGTCGATGTAATAGTGCGCAATAGTGCGGCAACGCTATTTACATACCTATATTACTCACTCGGCAACTGGTAATTTAAACCAATACGGGAAACGCACAGAACTTCAAAATTTGTCGAATACGACTTTATATTTTGGTGTATTGCAATCAAACAGTTGTTTCGATTCTGGTCACATTGGCATGTAACGTATTACGTTCGACTGAGTTGTGTAATTGTGCAATAAATTAATAAATTCTACTTAAAAATAGAGATGATGAAATGATCGAAGACATTGGAAGTTTTGTAAACAGAAGTTCCACAACACTTTAATGACGCTCCATATGAAATACTGCTTTACAATGTACTATTAGATTTGAAAATCGAATTACTGCCAAAATAACCACGTAAGTGCATGTCATTCGGCGGTGTGGCGATGAGCTGAAATTCGGTGGTCAATGGGTTGAATGGCGTGGGGTGATGCGTTGAAGGGCGGTGGGTGATGGGTTGAAGAGCGGTGGGTGATGGGTTGAATGGCGGTGGGCGATGGATTGAAGAGCGATGGGTGATGTATTGAATGGCGGTGGGGTGATGGGTCGAAGGGCGGTGGGTGATGGGTTGAATGGCGTGGGGTGATGGGTCGAATGGCGGTGGGTGATGGGTTGAATGGCGATGGGTTGAAGAGCGGTGGGTGACAGGTTGAATGGCGGTGGGCAATGGGTTGAAGAGCGGTGGATGATGGGTTGAATGGCGTGGGGTGATGGGTTGAAGGGCGGTGGGCGATGGGTTGAAGGGAGGTGGGGTGTGTTCAAATTTCGTGTAAACAAACATTTATAACGTGTTGTAAACGACAGGCCTGACAGGATGCGGTGCGACAACCGCTGTTCAAGAGAATGTGGCGATAGGCGTGGGTGAAGTAAGTATGGGCACACAAAATACACTGCACATCGTATTAAAGTAGTAGAATATATAGACGTTTATTTCATAAACCTACATCCGATAATTAAAAAAAAGGTTTAAACTAAAACCCTCTCTACTCATCACTGATTGGCTAGTAAGTGTGATTCGTCATGTCATTTAGAATCTACGCTATCTTGGTTTCCATTTCAAATATATTTAAAACTTGGCCTCATTTTATTTTAAATTTGTCAAGAATACTGATATTTATACTGATTTGTTGTCACTTGAGCATTCAATAATTCCATTTATGACATCATTCGAGTACGGATCGATATAAAAGTCTATATATTCCTAGGAAAAACTAAAATTGCAATTTTGTGATGGTGGAAGCTAGAAACTAGAAATGTGTAGGGGAAAATAAC